AAATATTTAAAAGAATCTACTAACTCTATATGATTGTTATAAAGATAAAAATCAAATTAAGTATGTTGGCCTTTTTCAAAAATCATGGTTTTTGTTTTGCTGGCATTAAGACGTAAGCCCCATGTATTGCTATAGTCTTCAATGTCGTTCAACATGGACTGTAGGGAGTTTGGATCGTGAGCAAATAAAACTGCGTCATCGGCAAAAAGTAATAAAAATAATTGAATGTCGCCAATGTTCATTATTCCATTAATATCTGTATTTACATTATTAACAATATCGTTTAAAAAGAAAAGACACAAAATGCTGCTGGCGGGGTCACCTTGTTTCACTCCAATGTTTGAATTTATAAAGTTAGAGTTAGTCGAATTATACCTTACAAACGATTTAACCGTTGAGTACATTGACTTTATAGCCATTACAAATTTTGTACTAACATTTGCATTCATTAGTTTTTGCCACAAGTAAAGTCTATCAATTCTGTCAAACATTTTTTCCCAATCGAGAAAGGCTACATATAATTTTTTCTTTTCAGCAAGAGTTTTTGAAATAAGAGCGTGTAAAATATAAATACAGTCAATCGTTGATTTATTCTTTTGAAAACCAAATTGATTGTCAATTAATTTTTCTTTCTTATCGGCCCAATTTGTAAGTCGAGTTATAATTAGTTTTGAATAAATTTTTGAAATAATGTTATTTAATGTAATTCCTCTAAAATTCTTAGCTTCCGGATTGCCTCCCTTGAATATGGGAACGATTATGCCTTGTGTCCAACTTTCTGGAAACATTCCATGTGTAAAAATTTCATTATACAACTTAACAAGAAATGGAGAAATTATGTCAAATGAGTGTTTAAAAACTTCCGCTATAAGGTTATCAGTCCCCGGACTTTTTGAATTATTTTGAGCAAAACTGCATTTTTAACTTCTAATTCAGAAAAAACAGCATCTAATTCATTATCATATACAAAATTACTATTAAAATTCGAGCTTGTGTCAGTGGTCGCTTCGTTGCCGTAAAGATTATTGAAATGAGTAAATAGTGATTCAATTGATATATTTATTTCTTCCTTTGAATCCGTTTTATACTGCGATTTTATATTTTTCCAAAATTGCTTTGGTTGCGATTTTGATAATTTAGTGATACGTTCTCCTTCATTTCGCTGAAATATGCGTTTACATTTTTTCTTTATTTTTATATAACTTCGTTTTTTATTCAAAAACTCATTTTTATTTTCGACAGACTTATTTCTTAAAAAAATATTTCTTGCATTATTTAGCAGCTTACGCGCGTCATAACATTCTTTATTAAACCATTTCTTTTTCCCTGCAATATTTGTAGTAGATTTTTTTAACCTGTGTTTTCCGAATACACTAAACGAGTTGTTTTGCATAAAAACAGTAAATTTGCTAACCGATTCATCAATAGAATTTCTATTTAGATTCGTAACCAATTGGTCAAGAATTGATAGCTCATTCAACAGTTTCGATCTAAATATATCAATACGCGTGTCATCCCATGCGAGAAATAATATATATCACATTTAGCTAAAAAATGGCTCTTTCAACATATTATCAGGCACATTTTTTACTAAAATGTCTTACTAAGATTGCCCAGAATTTATACATTCGTATGCTAAGACTATCAAGACTACATTCTTTTAAAATAAATGGAAAATTTTAGAGAAAAAAATATTTAAAGCTTAATATTTGATACAAATTCTTTATTAGGAGATTTATTTGGTGAAAGTTCTTCACTTACTAATCAAGACCATTTAAATCTCTATTGATTCTACTATGAACCAGGGCACATGTTTTGCGTCTATTTAATACCTTGAGTTTTGTTTACCCTTCGCTTTTTCTACAATATATTATTTAAAAGATAATGAACATTAATTTTGTATGACCCCAAAGTGCGCTCGTTTTCCTGATGTTAAAAAATGCATATGTACCTGTTTAACGCACTTTGGGGTCGAAATTGGACCCCAAAGTGCGTAACGCACTATGGGGTCGGACCCCAAAGTACGTAACGCACTTTGGGGTTGGACCCCAAAGTGCGTTTGACCCCAAAGTGCGGTGTTACAATGCGTCAATTGCGTTTTTGTTAACAATACAAGCACAAACTTTAGGAATATGGTGTCGTTGCATGAATAGCGGTAGCGTAATATTGCCCGTAGTATTGTCATGCGCCAAAATGAGGCAATGACAATGCAAAATGTATTTTTAGTTTACTTTTTCAGGTTATAGAGATATTTTAGAAAGTTATATTTTGTTAGGAATAAAGCAAAATTACAGTTCTATCTCTTTTACATAAACTCCATATTTCTATAGTTTCAAATATAGACACTTATCATATTTTCCTAATCACCATAAAAGTAAACTCCGCTTATAACGATATCCAGGGGACTGCCGATTTTATATCGTTATTTCCGAGTATCGTTTTTTACGAGAGGCAACCAATTTGAAAACAAAAAGTCGGGACTGCGACAACAGCATCGTTATAGGCGGTATATCGTTATAAGCGATATCGTTATAAATGGAGTTTACTGTACATTTATTATCGTTTTATATTCAGGGCCAGATACCTTAAAAAATGTGGACATGTCACCATGCCCATCACTGCCATGCGTTTTTCATAAAGGTACCAACGCCACTGTAACCATAGACTTTACAACAGATAAACAAGGTAATATATAAAATATAAATCACGTCTGTAAAATTAGTTTGGCACTTTATTTGGCATTTCTTTTTGGTATTTTTAAACGGTTAAGTTCGGGCTTTTTTACTAGAGGGAGATCAATGGTGTCCCATGTATCGGAAATTATGGGCACGAAAGGAGGGTTACTGTATTTTACTCTTTTTTTAAAGTATGGTTTATAATACTGACCATCTCAATTTTTGAGACAAAGGTCGGAAACTGAAACTTTTTTTTAAATATATGTATCTTATGTAAATATAAACGATAATGTCCTAATTATCTATGACACTTATTCAATTGTTTAACTGCGATATACTTTTCTTCAATATTTGATGTCATTTTTTTCACATATCAACATCTGTTATCCTATATTTTAACACCCATTATCTCACGTATACACTTTTGCTAAGCATTTTATCAACAACACAAACTTTATCAATATAAAGTGCACAGCAATGCATTTAAAACAAAATGTATATAATGTATAATTGATGACTATTGTTTTCAGTGTCTGGAATCACTACTAAAGTATACGGTATAGTAGCGGGCGTCCCTATACCATATAGTCTACCAAAGTCTAACGGTTGTCAGGGTTGTAATCTCATCTGTCCGCTGACACCAGGAACACACAGATATGTCAATGTATTCCCTGTATTGAAAACATATCCAGAGGTAGGTCCAATTTGGTTCCGCCCCCCCCCCCCCCCAAAAAAAATAGTAATAATAAAAAATAAGTAAATTTAGGGAGTTACATTTTATGTGAAGGTTTTGTATATCTAATGTGCCAGTTAGCGAGGGAAGTATACATTCATCTGAGGGTCATGTACAGTACAACCTCTGCAAAGTAGCCCTCTGGAAACCAATTATATCTTTACAATAACGGTATCATTGTTTTCCAAAGTAAGACATCACAATAAATTTAACCCCTCTGTACAGCATCACCTCTTAGCAGGAAGCAAAATCCTTCGACTATCAGTGTGCTGCTCTACCGAGGTTGTACTGTATATACTGACTGAGAGAGTAACATTAATGTATTATGCTATTAAGGGAAAAATAGATATAGGTATATTTAATGTGAGATTAAGGTGAATGTAATTTATTATGACTAGATACTTTACAAGGGTCAGGACATGAAGTGGTTGCATACTTGGGCAAAGCAAGCGAACTTGTTCCAAACTTTGACAATTTGGGTACAGAGTACTGCCCCTTGAGTAAACATGTATCCCATTGGAACTAAAATACCCATTTAGACAAAGATCTCATTTTCTTCTCACTAAAATATCTCTTTACTTTCAGATTCGTCTTGCGGTAAAATGGGAGTTGGTGGATGAAAACAATGAGCCACTTTTATGTTTCGTCTTCCCAATGCAAATATTAGACTGAAAAAGCACAGCACTCCACATTTTTCATAACTTTCACTTTAAATGCAGCTGATTAAGAATGTGATTTTGAAATCATGCTTTTATACTAAATATTTGCAATTTCCTTCTTGTGGAAAATCTGAAAATGTTAATCAAATAAGGCTAAAGCTAATATTGGTATACTTAAAAATCATAAATGTCTCTTTTTTATTTGTACAACAAATGAGCCGCGTCATGACAAAACCAACATAGTGCGTTTGTGACCAGCATGGATCCAGACCAGCCTGCGCATCTGCGCAGTCTGATCGGGATCCACGCTGTCCGCTTACCAACCCTGTAACAAGTAGAGAAACTGATAGCGAACAGCATGGATCCTGATCAGACTGCGCAGGCTGGTCTGGATCCATGCTGGTCACAAACGCATTATGTTGGTTTTGTCATGGCACGGCTCAAATTCATTTGTAAGGTTTACATTAATGATATGTTTGTCTTTCATCACAGTTATCCTATTGACTGAGTTTGATTAAGTGTAATATAAGCACAACTTTCTTTTGGTAAAGTCAGACTAGTTATACTGTTACAAGTTTTGTAATCTTATTTTTTAGTGAATTTGTTCAGGATTTCTTGGTCTATATTGGTTGAAGAGTCTTCTTATAAATTTACATACTAAGTTTGTTCAAAAACAAAAGAATACAGTTAGCATTTAAGGTTTCATATACATTTTATTGTACTGTGTGGAAGACATATATAAATACATGTTGCAATTAATCAGTATTTTAACAGAATATTAAAACATAAAATGTTTGTATAATATTAATTTACTGAATTTATTCTAACATTTAAAACAATGTAGTTTTCAAAATGATACTTGTATACTGTTTGTCAGTTAAGGTATACAACTTATATATATACAAATTTCATAAATATCTCATTGAATGACATGCACTGATTGTATGAATAAAATATTATAAAAGTTTATCAATTTTGTCAGTTACTGCCCCTGTTTACTGTTTTAAATAGACTACTGCCCGACCTTGTTACCCCTCTGCCACAACAACAAAACATATCCACTAATATTGTAGTACTCTTAACAAAGTAACAATAAATATGTGTAAGATAGAGCCTTTGTTGGCACGATTCAGTGTAAAATCTGTAGTACATGAACAGGCAGGAACAAGTAGACTAAGTAAAAAATAATATACCATTCCCAACCAACAGTTTTTCCCGAATTTTCTGTTACCACATATGCATTTAATTTTATAATATTTACAAATCAAGTCAATAGTATTATCACTATGAATAATACATTGTCCAGTCATGCTAAAGAATATGAGAATTTATCCTTAACCAGCTGTGATGGATTTGCTAAGCTTTAAATTTGAAAAAGTCATTGATTTCAAAATCAATACAAAAATTGAGTTATAAACAGTAAAAAGCCTGGTCACACTGCCAGATATCTAGGCTAGCCTAGCTCTCTATCCTGGTGGCAAAGGCTAATCACAGGCTTATGGTTAAAGGGACTCACACTGAGGTTTTTTTGACATGAAGGGACTGACAAATGATCCAAAATTCCCTTTTCACTCAAATCCGGCTAAGAATAAGACAAAAATACATATATATTTCTGGGTATATATTTTAATCAGCTTTTGCCTATCTATCTTTCTGTTGCCAATCAATACAAGAAATTCAAATATTCTATGTTTTCAGACTTTTAGACCTCAGTGGAGTTCCTTTAATATGAGGAGAGATAGAGAGAGAAAAAGAGAAAGAGAGGGAGGGAGAGAGAGAGGGGAATAATTACTGTCAACCTTTGATGAATGATAAGCCTATATAAAAATATCAAAAAAGTTATCTACCAACAGTAAATAGCCTGGTCAGACGGCACAGTGGTGTAGCTCTGTCCTGGCACTATATTGGTGGCAATGACTAATCACTCCACTCAAAGCAGGTTAAAGGTTAACCATGAAAAGTACAAAGATGTGTGTATATGTATGTACATGTAATTGATTTCAATAGTCAGGCTCTCATGCTTTTAGAATTTAGCTTAAACTAGAAATGTGTCCATAGGACACGGATGCCCCCACACGCCACTGTTCTGTCAATCTTATGACTCTAGGTCAAATATTTTTTGGACTACATGTGCCACAAGTTGAAAACTAAAAATCAACAAAGGGCCATAATTCTGTTAAATTTGGTCGCAGCGATATTCCTTCCTTTACTACCATCTACACATTAAGGTTCTTAATCCCTGGAAGTTTAAGCAAAATCTGCCATCTGGTTTAAGAGAATTTGCGTTCACAAAATTTCTACATAGTATATAATGAAAAAATAAAAAAAGGGCCATAATTCTGTTGAATTTGGTTGCAGCAAAAATTCCTTTCTTTACTACCATCTACACATTAAGGTTGTTCATCCCTGGAAGTTAAAGCAAAATCTGCCATCCGGTTTAAGAGGAGTTGCATTCACAAAATTTCTACATAGTATATAGTGAAAAAATCAACAAAGGGCCATAATTCTGTAAAATTTGGTCACAGCGAAAATTCCTTCCTTTACTACCATCTACACCTGAAGGTTGTTCATCCCTGTAAGTTTAAGCAAAATCTGCCATCCGGTTTAAGAGGAGTTGCGTTCACAAAATTTCTACATAGTATATAGTGAAAAAATCAACAAAGGGCCATAATTCTGTTAAATTTGGTCGCAGCGAAAATTCCTTCCTTTACTACCATCTACACATTAAGGTTGTTCATCCCTGTAAGTTTAAGCAAAATCTGCCATCCGGTTTAAGAGGAGTTGCGTTCACAAAATTTCTACATAGTATCTAGTGAAAAAATCAACAAAGGGCCAAAATTCTGTTAAATTTGGTCGCAGCGAAAATTCCTTCCTTTACTACCATCTACACATTAAGGTTGTTCATCCCTGTAAGTTTAAGCAAAATCTGCCAACCGGTTTAAGAGGAGTTGCGTTCACAAGATTTCGGGACGTACGGACTGACGGACGGACAAGTGCAACGCTATATGCTCCCACATTGTGGGGGCATAAAAAAACTTAATCAAATTTTAGTTAAGATGAAAATTCATTTTGTATAAATATAACATATTTTATAAGTTACACAACATGGAACTCTTCCTGGTAATAAATATGAAAATGAATTGTTCCTTTCAAAAACATCCATCTACAAATCTATATTATATCTATCAGTTTTTTAATCTTGTCCTTACACAATGACACAAGCAATGACAACAGCAGCTTGCCAGATCTAGAATTTTTTTTTATAGTTATAACAACAACCTATTTCATCTACGGTAATAGCTTCTTTGATATTTTCCGTGAACTTTCCAACTGTTTGTCAAGTCCATTTTTGGCAACCGGTGTATTTGGTGGAGTCTCGTACATTGCCTTCACTATTTCACTTTTCTCTGACTGTTTAAATATCTGCATTGCTTGAGAAATGTCCCTTGCTTTTTGTAGCATATCTCCACAAAACTGTAAGTAAATAAAATTTAATAAATAAATAAAGAAAAGCATAACTCTTTGTAAGGTGCATAACAATGTCAAAAACCAACAGCAAAGTTGAGTACTATTGCTACAACCCTATATCAAGTTACAAAGAAAAAAGGGTTACCTTTAAGTGTTTTGTGAAAAAAATGTGTGGCTAGAAAATAAACTTGACCCAAGGTTGAACAATTTCTACCCCATTGTGTTTTCATATCCAATGTTATAGAATATGTGTTTGAGCATATTAATGTGAGAGAGTTGATATGTGTTAAATGTTACCAAATATGTGTGTGTGTGAACATATATATGTGTGTAATGTGATAGGACAAGTGTTAGCTTATGTGTGAATTTACATATGTGTGTTATGTAATAAAATATTTGTGAAAGGTTTAGATTATAGAATATGTGTGTCAAGTGATGGAATATGTGGGTGAACATATCTATGTGTGTAAGGTGAATATGTGTTTGAGGTAATGGAATATGTGTAAGGTGGCAGAATATGTGTAAGGAAAAATCGATCATGTGTTCGGTCAAGGAATGTGTGTAAGATTTTGTATTATGTATATGGTGATGTAATGTGTGTAAGTTGAAGGATATGTGTAAGCCATAAGATGATGGAACATGTGTAAGGTGATAGAATGTGTGTGAGGGAATATATGAAAGGTGAAGGAATGTGGGTAAGGTGATGGAATGTGTGGATATAATATTAGTAAGGCAATGTAATATATAAGTGAGGTTAAAGAAAATCCTTGAGGTAATAAAAATCATACTTGTTTGTTATATGAACATGTATCCACAGCTCCTTGTACTCTTTCTTCTACTTCCTCAAGATTAACAGAACCACAAACATTTGCTGTGTCTGTTTCCATACAATTTTCTCTCTCTGACTTTGTATCAACTGATACTAAAGCCTGAAATAATTAAAGGAAATGTGAATATAATTATATTCCAATAAAACCTTACTAAACCATGAAATGATTAAATGTAATATAAACATTCCAATACAATAATCATATCATGGCTTGTCATGAATCTTGAATACCACTTGTTTTGGTAATTCCAATCCTCTGATCTAAAATTTTATTTAAGTTTTGACAATTTTCTAAACAGACTGGAGTATACAAAACTTCCCATTAACTGTCACCTTTGGGTCAGAATTCTTAATATGTTGTGCCAGCCTGCATATTTGTACATTTGGATCAAACTCCAAACAGCTACCTGCTAAGCTTTAAGTGCTTTTGTATTAATATTAAATTCATGTAAATTGTTGAAAATAGAAAAAACCAACATGAAGAAACATCATGATCAGAGGTGACATGACTCATGTTTTGAATGTATTGTACTAAAATTTAAAACAAAAATAACCTTAAAAATAAAGTATACCCTGAGAATAAGAAATATAACCACAAGAGGATAAATTTATATGTGCAGAGGTAGGCCAAGGAGTCTGCCTACCCAGCATAGTTAAATTGATAACACAAAATTTCTGTCTACTGGCAATATTAATTCATATCTTGGTATATTCTAAAATATAATGTCACATTTATATTTACTATCATCTCATATACAAAACTATAATCAATTAACCAAACAAAACATGGTACCAATATCACATCTCTACTTTCTGTTAAAATATCTATAACTAACAGTATGCTAATGTTTTTATTTCTGAGCCATACAATGTACATGAACATCTGCAATAAAAATTCATTACCACATATTTTAGCTCTGGTCTTATCAAGGACTTTACTTTCCGTCTAACTTGCTTAGATGCTGATTTTCTTAACCTTGTTGTACTGACAAAGTGTCTGTCTAAACGTTCCATCAAATCATGTTGTATGTATTTCTCTTTCTCTACATCAAATGGTTCAAACTCTACAATAAGCCAAAAAATAAATACATAATTATACATATATATTTAAACTTTGCTAACTTGGTACATACTAACATGGTCTAGATCATTAATATTTAAAGACAATTTAAAATAAAAGCATAGACTTAGTATCATAATTATTTGTTCATTGATACCAAATCAATTTTTCTACTCAAATCAAAATGTGTTCCTATATAAAACACAAATGCTACTGATCAATAATACATGCAGTTGAACATCTATACATAAATTACGAAGTCATTTTGAAATATCATAAGCATTAATACGGTGCCATTACAGTATAGAAGTTTAACACTATAATATATTTTAAAAATTAAATATCCTTGCACAGAATATTTTGGATATTTATTATAAATGTAATTTTCAATTACAGTCACTGTTTTTTTTTTAAAACAACAATGTTTACAAGACAGTTTTGAACCACAAAATTATTAACAGTTACTTTAACTTATCACAAACTTTTGATTTTTTGTATTATTATATTTTATTTTTAAAGACTTTTAAGATAAAATTTAACATTATACCAACAAAAAAAAACATAATGTTTGGCAAACAAATATATTTTGTTTTATGCTAAATTTGGGAGTTAACAAACCTGTAGTGGTGTCAAGAGCAGCATCATATTTTGTTACAGGTTCACCTTTCATCAGAATATTTGACATCATCAATTTTTTGTAAGTCTAAAATGAGAAATTTATAAAGTTTCTGATTACATAATTTATAAACTGATTTAATGTTACCACATCAACTGATCACAAACTTAACTCATAAAATGAAAACATTCTAGTCAAAATATATTGACATGCCAAAGCTAGATTCTGAGATATTTTCATTCTGGGTCAGAATCTCACTTTTGTAGAGGCGAGATATTGCCCAGACAAGAAAATAGCACAATATCTTGTCACAAAATACAGCTGGACTAGCAAACATCCATGATGGTGTGCGGGCAGCACGAAATACCCAAATATACCAAAATTTCCAAATACACCCAAATATTGCCTAAATTTAATATACCCAAATATTGCCCAATTATACTAAAAATAAATGTTTTATACTAAAAAGTGTTGTTTTAATCATGAATACAATACACACTATCACTAAGATATAATCAAACATACCCAAATATACATTTTCCTATCATTGTATACAGTATATGTACTCCATTAAAGCTATTATTTTTTTAAATAACATGGACACTTGTATAATTATGATATGAAATTTCAACAAAATTACACCTTAAAAATGTAAGTGTAGACAACAAATATCATATCTTGATTTAAAATTGCAAGTACTTTCATGAAGAACCTATATAGTACTGTAGATCATAAGCAAATGTTACAACTTTATTTTCTTACAACATCCTAACTGCCCATTTCAACGGAATGAATGAAAATTATAGCAGACTAAGTCATATTATTTTATAAATATTTATTTATTTCTCATTATAATCTATATTTTATACAAACAAAAATAAATATTGCTATATTTGGGTGTATTTGGGTATTTCGTGCCGCCGTGGTGTGCTTAATTCCCCACTTTGATGGTAAACAAACTGGGATTATCTAGTTCTACATCTACATGTTACTCCCAAACAGTCAATTCTGACCATGACTGGGAGGCGAAGTTTAAGTTTTAACAGTCAAATCTCTGAAATAATGAATCTTATTGTTGGTTTATTTTGTTACTAGGTGCATGTTACTTATTCAAAATTAATGTTAAAAAAGAATAAAGTACCATGCTTATCTACATCTACATCATACTGCTTAACAATCAATTCTGATTATGACTAGCAGGCTATAAGTTCTATTGGTTATCTGCCAGGTTTTCACTAAACTTGATTTGTTCAAATTTTTTATTATCCAAAATTTATGGGTGTCACTGTGTCTATAATACAGTCATGTCCGGTGATCTTGCGCGGCCGGTGATCTTGCGCACTCGGCATTTCCTTTCGTTTGGCTGTTTGTTTATGCTGTCGCTAGAAATTTTCAGCCAAAATTTGTGACTTGGTCTTACTTTGAACTACAACAAGTTAAGAAAGTTAAAAAAATATCTGTCAAACAGGTTTGTTTACATTATTTCGTCATCCTAATTTTTTATTCATAAACACGCCCACTGACCTATTTTCCCATTATATTCCTGTCTGTTCATCCAGTTCCAAAATCTTACGTCCAGCAAAAAAAAAATCTAAATCACACATTTTAAAGCAGTATTGCACCGATAAAACGTTGTAAATTTTCTATTTTCCCTTTGCAAATTAAGGTGTGTTCAGTTGTTATCTCCTGGCGATTCCTGCCATCTTGTCAAAATGGCCCCTCCCGCGCTTTTCAATTTTTTTCTACGGAAGCGTAAAAGGGTCTAGAAAAGAGCATTGAATTTGTGTGTAGTCAATGGGTGCATCTGAAATTCAGTACAGAAATTGAGACATTGACTGGTAGTGATGATTTCAGGTGTCCCAGGTGTAGTAGTGAACAGTAAAATAACAAACCCTTGATGTAAATAAGTTTGTGTTATAGTTTTGTTTGAACAGTTTGAACAGTTTAAATTAGCTCTCACAAAATTTATATTGATAGTATTACTGGGACACCATACTTTAAAAAATCAGCTACCGTGACGTCATTCATAACACATGCGCAAGATCACCGGACAAATAAATGTTGGGATTAAACATGGTGGTAAGTGTTTACATTGTTGCACTCCTGAAGTTCAATGAGTTATTTCCAAAAAATATTTCTGTCATTAGATCTATATGTCTTAAAGATTTTTGCAAATAGGAAAATAATTATGAGTTTTTTGTATTTATTTGAATCGTAGTAAATTAGCTGATAAGTGCTTAGGTGCGCAAGATTACCGGACAGCATCGTATAATAAGGGTGTGTGAATATATTATTCCGAAGTGGGGCGAATTGTCCGTGGCACGAACCGTAAACAATCCGTGTCCTGGATGCTTTTATTTTTCAATCGTATAACTTGCACTAAATGAAATTCAGCAAAAAAACAAAATTAATTGCATGTTGATCTACTAGTACTAGATTCTAGCTAGCATTAAGCTTTCCCTCAGCAAATTAAAAAGTTAACTCGGTCATAAAAATAAAATATAACCTGAAACACGTCTGTACCAATGAGGTGATTTTCATTTTGATCTTCGAATAACTTCATGATATGATTTTCTGTGACTTGTAAAAGAGCTACAACTGATCTGCAACATTTGCAATCTATCTTTAAGTTTTGTTTTTGCGGTGTATCATCTGTTGACAATTCAGTCGCCATTTTGAAATTTCCGCCGTATGGTAGCGCATGCGCAATGGGGTCGTACTAAGCTACATACATATTAGCTAAAGACATAGGAAATGCTAGGAGTACTCAACATATATCGTATAGATTTATTAATGGAACTATACATTAACACAATATTGTCACATATATCAACATTCATATATAACACAAAATAATGCAACAAAAATATAACATGGGGTCCAATAAATATTATATAGAGGATATTGCAAATGTTGCAGACTGGAATTGTTTAAAAAATGACGTAAGTAAATATGCCAAGGTCTACAGTGAAACACACCACACTGATCCCAACAAAGCCTGGATTTCCTTCAAGGACGAACTAAACCACCTTTGTTCTATTCACATACCAACTAAAGTCACTAAAACACGTCGAGATCTACCATGGTTAAACAAGTCCATTATTCGAAAAATTAGGAAACGTGATAGAACTTATTCAAACATTAAAAGGTCAAAGTCCCCATCAAATGATTTGGTCAAAAAGCTCAAAGTACTTAAAAGTGAAATCCAAAGAGAAACTAGGAAAGCATACTGGCAATACCTAGACTCTGTCATTTTTAGCCAAGACTCCCAAAATGTGAAAAATAAAAAATTCTACCAATATGTTAAAAGTAATAAAACTGAAAGCTGTGGTGTGGCACCCCTCAAATCAGAAGGTCAAACATTTTACTGATCCAGTCGCAAAAGCAGATATCCTTAACTCCCAGTTTGAGTCTGTCTTCTCTCGGCCTCAGCCCCTTAGCTTATCCCAGGCTTGCAAAACAGAAGCTTATCCCAAAACACCACCCATCTATGCCAGAAGTATCTATATCGGAAGATGGTGTGAAGAAACTTTTAAAAGACCTAAACCCAAATAAAGCTTCTGGTCCTGACCAAATATCCCCTAGGTTATTAAAAGAGCTCCATCAAGAGGTTACTCCCATACTGACCCACATCTTCCAGATCTCACTTAAAACAGGTATTGTCCCAGAAGACTGGAAGCATGCAATAATTGCCCCAGTTTTACAAAAAGGCCCAAAATGCAAACCCAGCAATTATAGACCAATCTCCCTCACATGCATTGCGTCCAAATTGATGGAGCACATCTTAGTGTCCAATATTATGTCCTTTTATGATAAACACAACATCCTTAGTCCCTATCAACATGGCTTCAGGTCAAAACGGAGTTGTGAGTCCCAGCTAGTAAGCTTCTCCCAGGAAATTCATGACAATCTTGAAAGTGGCCAACAAACTGATGTCATAGTCATGGATTTCAGTAAGGCATTTGATAAGGTGGACCATCACAAACTTGTGAGTAAACTAGAAAGATTGGGTATAAGTTATGAGGTTACAAATTGGGTCCATTCCTTCCTTAAGTCACGCTCCCAGCAAGTTGTAGTTGAAGGTCAAAAATCAGGAATTCTACCAGTTCTCTCAGGTGTCCCCCAAGGCTCGGTATTAGGTCCCTGTCTTTTCCTTTCTTACATAAATGACCTCCCAGATAGTGTCAAAGGTAAGGTTAGACTCTTTGCAGATGATACCTAACCATCAGATCCAAACAAGATGCCCAAACCCTCCAAGATGACCTTCATGCTTTAGAAAAATGGGAAAAAGACTGGTCCATGGAATTCAACCCTGACAAATGTGAAGTTCTCAAGATAACAAGAAAAAGAAACCCTGTAATATTTCCTTATACTCTCCATAACATCCAACTTAACTCAACTCAAGAAGCGAAATACTTAGGAGTCACTATTAGTCAAGACCTTTCATGGACCAAACATATAAACAACATCACATCAAAAGCTAATAACTCCCTCAGATTCATTAGAAGAAATGTTAAAACTCCAAATAAAAAGATAAAAGAAACTGCATATAAGACCTATGTTAGACCTCAGGTTGAATATTGCTCCATAGTTTGGCATCCTTGGCAGAAATACTTAATTTATAAGATAGAGCAAGTACAAAGATCAGCTGCTAGATACATTTTTAATGATTATGACTATACAAGTAGTGTCTCAAAAATGATAAATGATCTTAATTGGCAAACCCTTGAACAGCGTCGAAACATCAGTGCTGTAACCTACTTGTATAAAATCCAAAACAACATTGTTTTTGTTGACCACCAACACCTTACTCAAACAAGAAATCTGAACTACCTGATACCCTACTCGAGGACACAATATCATCAAAATTCTTTCTTTCCTAGGAGCATACGTCTTTGGAATAGCCTTCCCCTTACAGTTCAGTCCAGCCCCAGTTTAAACATCTTTACTGAGAGGCTTGACCCATTCTATAAATTCTAAACTGCACACCATGTTTTTAAATTAATAGTCTTGTAGAACTTTTATTCTTTTAACTTTTTAATTTTGCACATAAATAAATTCTTTTATTAACAGTTCCCTGACAACGCGCCTGCTAGTCATAATCATAATTGATTGTTAAGCAGTATGATGTAGATGATGTAGATGTAGATATTGAATAAGTGTAGGTTTAATTAATACTAAATTGAACGAGTTGAATAAAATCATATTATGCGAGCCTTTGGCGAGCATAATATTGTTTTATTCAACTCGTTCAATAAATTTAGTATTGAATCTACACGAATATAATATTCTATTTATCACATATATAAAATAAGAACGGTAAACGGTTAACAAGAGTCATTTTTCTTTGACGCGCCTATATAGTGTAACGCTAACATTAGCGCGTTTTAACGCTATGTTTATATTGCAAATGACGTGACGTCAAAGTGTTATTACACTAGTGTAAAATCGTCTAGTGTAATATCGTTTTTATTAAATGGCTTTATCACACACCCGTGCCGATTTTGCGACTCCGTAAATATGGTATTGCACGGCCGTGCATATATTTTGACGTGACGTCATTAGCGTTATACAAACATAGTGTAAATACGCGCTAAATGTAAGCGTTATACTATAGGCGCGTCAATAAAAATTGACTCTTATTTCACTTAAAATAGTCCTTATTTTGGGTATGTGATAAATAGAATATTATATTCGTGTAAGTTCATTACTGAATTTATTGCACTCGTTGAATAAAATAATATTATGCTCGCCAGAGGCTCGAATAATATAATTTCATTCAACTCGTGCAATAAATTCAGTATTGAACTTACACTCATTCAATATCCTCTATTTATTACACTCCTGCGCCGCGGTTTATGTGATAAATTAACATATATGAATACGTACGTACCTGTATCAACACAATTGTATAATGAGAAATGAATTATTCTAAAGTTAAAATAAATGCAAAAATCTTGTCAACATTGTACCACAATCAAGACACATTTGTTCGATGTTATGAGACAAATACATTGTACGCAAACACACTAAAATAAATTTGAATAAACTAATATATTATCAAATAAAAAATCAACATGTAAACATTCATTATCACATAAGTTAATCGTCAGTTAAGTAATATATATAATATATTATTCATATTTCTGTCATTTTCATTAATTAAGAAAAGCTTAACTTCGTTTTAAATGTTTGGATAATTTCTATTGACCTAATTTTTCTTGTAAAGAATTCCAGTCTTTCACAGATAGCAGAAGGGTGTTTGCCCAACGTTGGGTCAACGACGTTTTCTTCGTTGGCCAAATAAAGATTGGCAACGTTGGCCCTGTGCCAGTTTGCTAATTGGGGCAACGATGAGCCATCCGTTGGTATATCGTTGGCCCAACGACTGATTTAAAACTCCTTATCATTGGGCCAACCACATTTTTGAGTCCTCATTGTTGGCCCTTCGTTGGGCCGACCGCACAAATTAAGTTATCATTATTGGCCCTTTGTTGGGCCAATTTCACTTTTTTTCTTCATCATCGTTGGCCCTTCAATGGCCCAACTACACAATTTTAATCAAATTCATTGGCCCTTCATTGGGCTAACCAAATAAATTTAAGTTATTGCTGGTCCTCTGTTGGGCCAACATCATAATTGTTATCATCAACTTTGGCCTTTTGTTGGGTCAACCATACAAATTTAATCAACTATGCTTGCCCAAATATGGGACAAAAACAAATCTTATCAAAATCATTGTATCATCACCCTTAGTTTTAGGTCTGACAAACTGAAGTCTTTCCGAAAATTAAATTAAATTAAAACAGATAGAAGTAAACAGTGATATTGTAGAAAAATGTGTTAGTAACATAAGAGCCATTTTGAGGCAAAACACACTGGAAACAATTAATAATTAACTTTCTATTTCAACCTCCAACTTTTCGAGGGGTTAAAGCCCTCTTTATCGAGGAGTTTGTTGTTTATTTTATAAATCACACATTTATTTTCTTCTTACACTCTGATACTGCATCTTACATGCTACTGTCAGAAACAAATATGATGTTTTTTTATTGTTTTTAAGAGAATAAGTAGTAAAGTAATTAAAGAAAAATATCACTAGGGCTAAGGCTGTAGACATACCAATAATTCTACTTCATCATGACGCTATATTTTATATTCTATCTGGAAACAGTTAATTTATAATTATCAACTACACAAACTTTTCTATCTCCAACGTTTCGAGGGGTTAAACCCCTCTTTATCAAGGAGTTACTGTTTATTTTTATATAAATCACATATTTATCTTCTTACATGTCTTATCTTCAACTATGTTATGCATACAGGAAATGACGTCGTTGACGTCAACAATAAAAATTACGCAAAATATGATGATGACGTTTTCCGTCAAAATTGTTCCACTGCATAACGTTGCTCCCTTATTTATATATTATTTAATATTAACATAGCAAGAATTATGAAACTTATTTCATTGAAAATACATTAAAAATAATAATAATTATTATTATTATTAAAAAAAAAAAAAAAAAAAAAAAAAAAAAAAAAAAAAAAAAAAAAAAAACATTCTAAAATCCGTCTTCAGACGGATCCGTGAAGAATTTTGGATAAATAAATTACAAAACATGGGTCACCTATTGGACTAAATATCAAACAAAATAAGATTTATCATTATCATTGTTGCCGTCATAATCACTTTGCTGGTTATTGTTGTTGATATTGTTACTATTTTTCATAAGATGATTTGATAGTGATATGCACTTAAGGATTTATCAATATTATTATGTTTTGATAGTTAGTATATTATGACAGTTATTATTGCATTCATCGGTATTTTTGTAAAAACTGCGTTGTTGCAATCTAAAATTTTAAATTTTTTTTCAATTATATTTTTCTAACTACTAAAACATGGTAATTTTAGTTTAGACACTGCTTATCACGTGTCGCTTGTCATTATTACTATTATTATTATTATTATTATTATTATTATTATTATTGCTGTTATTATTATTATTATTTTAGGTTACGGTTATTTGCTGTTATGATTATTATGATTATTATTATGATTGTTATTATTATTATTATTACGGTTATTTCCTACTATGATTATTATTATTATTATCATGATTATTATTATTTTCATGATTATTATTGTTATAATTATCATTATCATTATTATTATTACCATTATTGTTATTTTTATTACCATTGTTCTTTTCCTAATTATTATTGTTACGGTTATTTCCTATTATGATTATTATTATCATCATCATGGTTATTATTATTTTCTTTATTATTATTGTTGTAATTATTATTATTATTATCATTATTATTATTACCATTGTTGTTATCATTATTATTATTATTATTATTATCATTATTATTATTATTATTACCATTGTTATTATTATTACCATTGTTATTATGATTATTACTATTATTATTTTTATTATTATTAAATTATTTGCTACTGTAAATATTATTGGAATGTTTTAGTAGAATGGCTTTTTTTTTTTTTTTTTTTTTTTTTTTTTTAATAATAATAATAATTATAATTATTTTTAATGTATTTTCAATGAAATTAGTTTTCATAATTCTTGCTATGTTAATATTATAAATAATATTAAATAAGGGGAGCAACGTTATGCAGTGGAACAATTTTGACGGAAAACGTTCATCATCATATTTTGCGTAATTTTTATTGTTGACGTCAACGACGTCATTTCCTGTATGCATAACATAGTTAAAGATAAGACATGTAAGAAGATAAATATGTGATTTATATAAAAATAAACAGTAACTCCTTGATAAAGAGGGGTTTAACCCCTCGAAACGTTGGAGATAGAAAAGTTTGTGTAGTTGATAGCTATATTTTATAGTCATTTACACAAATTCTGTAAAGTGAGAAGCACTGTTCAATAAAGCAATCGCACACAATGAATTGAAATAATGATTCTGTTGAATTTATAGAAATGTGCAATAAAACAATAGCGTATATTATACAAGCATTTAAATAAAAAAGAGAAGTAATTGATGTCCAATCAGAGACATAAATAACACATTTAAGTCTCTTGTGCAATGAAGTAATATCGTATTTGCATTAGCAATGTTAATTCTATTAAATAATTAAGCAGAAGTATACACGCAGGTTGAAATATTCACATTTCAGTAAGTAAAACAATGTCCTCCCATAGCTATAACAAAGTAAACACCTATGTCTCATATTTCTCCATTCCTGAACATGGACTTGCTCGAGTTCCAAGCAAATTGCGTTCAACTCATCCCACAAATTTTGTTTGATGCTGTTTAGATCCGGTGACTTGGGACATAGAAGGAGTTGCTGGCCCTTGTCCGGGAATTGAGAAATATTCCCAAAGCCTTCTGAAGTTCATGAGAAACTACGCCATTTCCATGAGACAGAGGTGTTTTCACGTTGTTATAGCCATGGGAGGACACAATAAGTATTAGAACTGGCTAACATACATATTTAGTAGGATTCAGAGACTGTTCATTTTGTTACGATATTTACAGTCATTGTGTGATTTTTCATTTTACAGAAGCCTATTTGTTTTGTTACTTTTTTTCTTGTCAATGAATTGTAAACAAAAAGTATGATATGTTGAATTTTGTATGGTCTAAGTTACAAATAACCAAATTATACCGAAAAATGTAAGTGTCGGGTTATAAGTGCCGCCGAGTGTATAGTTACTTAAGCAGGATTTTGTCTGATTAAGATACCATCTATGGCACAATAAAAATAACTTAGTTGAAACCTATTTTTCTAGTCTTTATTATATTATTTAAAGAACGTTAAAAATGAAAAGAATTTATATCCAAAGTCTTTCTTCTTGTGAAAGAGCTCGGCTGATGCTGGTATCTGAAATAAATAAATAAATAAATAAATAAATAAATAAATAAATAAATAAATAAATAAATAAATATATAAATTAATTAATTAATTAATTAATTAATTAATTAATTAATTAATTAATTAATTAATTAATTAACGATAACAATAAAATATTCGTGACGCTTTGTGATCGTGTATCAAATCAATTAGTGAAAATTCGTGCAAATGCATTTATAGTGATAAAAAATCAATCATTAGAGCGCAAAGTACTTACGTTGTGTAAGTCGAAGTGTAGATCACTCTTTATGTAGATGTCCATGATACCAAAGAGGTTACCATCATCGTCAAAAATATCGTTGTATGTAATATATGTATCATCAATGCCATTCCTAGCTTCTGTTATGTCGACTTCGTCTTGATCATCTTCGAGAGCTATTGGTTCAAAGTCTACAATATTGTCATCTGATTCTTTTATGTCTACGATTTCGTCATTTGGTTCTAAAGCTATTAAGGTATCATCTTGTGTGTCACTATTTGGCATGTCATCAACTGCACCTATATCTTTACTCACTGAATTATATGACTCTCTATCTAGAAAGTCACCAAACGTATCCGGGCCGATACGATCCAACGTATCGATGTCGTTATCGGCTGTTTTGTCTACAATTGTATCAGATGAAATTGGACCAATTTCGTCTTTATCTAAAACGTCTCCAAACAAATTGCTGTCTGCTTTTATGTATTCTTTCTCTATGTTTACAACTGCACTTGTCGGACAACTTTCGGATACACCTTCTAGTTCTTTGTCTTTTCTTCTCTTCTCTATATTTGTTGTTACATATTCATCAAACATCTGAGAGCCCTTTTTTGAGATTACAAATACTTCATCTAGATATACATGCATATCTGCAGTAAGTGGAAAACCAGTTTCAGTCGACGGATAAATGCAATTTGGTTTACAGACACCTGATTCTGTATCATTTGCAATCTCTAACATTTCATTTTGATATGTTTTATCAATGGATTCAAATGAAGTTGTCCTCTTTTCTTTTAAATGTGTTTCATTAAGCCTGTATAAATGAGTGTTCATATTTAGCTCAATCAAAGTTGGTGTAGCAATTTCAGCAATTTCTTTTTCATGCATTGGTATTCGACGTACGACACTCTTAATTTCAGATGTTAAAAATGTGTCTATCGTAGATTGAATACTTTCATCAGTGGCAGTAATGTCGTTTTCGATATTTAAAGATTTCTTTTCTTTCAGAGGTTTAGTGTCTGATATTGTATCTGTTGCAATTTTGAATTCCGTTGGTGCCTGAACCAAAAGATGTTCGACTAGCTTAGCCAGCTGACAATCAATTTCTTTCATACGTTGAATGTCTCTAGTAAACTTTTCGACACTTCCATCTACAATCTTAATATCTTCCATTTTACTTGCTTTTAGGTCTTTACCTTTGTTTTTCCTTTGGTGACGAGCGTCTGAGAATCTTCGGGTGGCATATTTTACCGACGTTTTCAACTCTTTGTCAGTCTTCATACCAAACTTCTCTATAAATATACCACACCCGTTTCCTATACCAATGTGTAATACGGCTTTGTTGAACGTCGCACTGATTGGAATAATGACGTCGTCATTGTTTGGACTAATCAGGATACATGTATCTGTAACAAAAAAAAAGACTTTGAAAAATAAAGTCAAATATAGATGGGCGTATTTTAAAATTTCGGAAACTTCTTTGATTTTACACTAACATTGACGACCGATTATAAATGTTTTCCAGTGTTTCTCTCTAACAGAGATGTACTTTATGAAGTGTGTATGTCATGTTATGGTTTTAGGAGATATTTGTACCCAAACAATTATTAGTACATCGAACAAAAAATAATTGTACAACGGTTATGTGGTATTTCTTAAAAAATAAATAAATAAACAAATAAATAATGGAAATAGTTTGTTTCTTTAATTGAGTGATTGATTGAGTGATGGTTCAGTGATTGGTTGAGTGGTTGGTTAAGTAATTGATTGAATAATTCGTTATGTGATTGATTGATTGATTGGTTGTTTGTTTGTTTGGTTGGTTGATTGATTGAGTGTTTGGTTGGTTGAGTGATTGGTTGAGTGAGTGATGAGTTGGGTACTTGGTTGGTTGATTGAGTGATTGGTTGGTTGAGTAATTGGTTGAGTAATTGGTTGAGTAATTGGTTGGTTGAGTGGTTGGTTTAGTGATTTGTTGAGTGGTTGGTGGGTTGGGTTTGAGGTTTTTGGGGTTTGGTTGGACCGGACAGTACAATGTTTTGATAAATTGTGTTGGTTTTGATAAATTGTTTTGGTTTTGATTTAATTATCCTCCTTAAAATAATTAAAATTTACTATAATAAAAAATACAGTCTAGCCTTATGGTCTTTAATTTCAGATTTTTTTTTTCAAAAAAATCTGTCATAATTTAAGTGATTATATTACATATTAAATTTTCAATTGTCAAACAATATATATAGACAGTCATCTAGAAAATCTTAAGTTTATCTATATCTTCAGTTTTATTTAAAAACATCGAAAAGAGAAACGACTGCTCTCATTGAAAAAAGAAACGAACTGCGAACGGTAACTATAATGTAACAGAGAAATTTCTTTTGCAATAATTATTATTAAAGATATTTCAGATATATAGAATATTAATACCTTTAAATGTGCTTTTCGCTAAACATTGGTTGTCATTTTGCGGACTTTCTTCCATTTTGCAGGTATTTTGTCTCTTATTAACAGCAAATATATGTGTCTGCACTGTAAGTGTGCGACATTTCAATTGCGGTTACTACGTTCTGTTTGTTACGTCACAATCAACTAATGGGCCGTCCAATCATATTTCTAGTGACGTTTGACGTTATGACGTCTTTCCGCAGGATACGTTATTTTTGTCAAGAGGTGAATCAGAATGGATTTAGCTCAATACAGGATTGGAGCAGTACCTCTAGACGCTTGCAGAAATCATGATCACAAAATAGACAAATATCGTTTTTTTCGCCGATTTTTACATTTTTCCTTGATTATCGTACTTGATTCGGTGTGAAAAGATGAATTAGACCTGTTAAAGTTCATTCCGTTGGGTAAAAAGACAAGATTTTAGCATTTTATCATTCAAGCGCCTTGTCCGGTATATACCGGAATACGGTATTTAGTGTGGTGCTCCAATTCTTTTTCTGGTCACAGCCAATCAGAATACTTAAACAAATTAATTTTACTCTTGTACAGTTTTGGTCGAAGTTTGGGAAAAGATGAATTCGTTTTTTTTGTCAAAGGCGAATTGAGCTCTACGCCTAAAGTGTCTGTGATAAAATGCAGCTCCATCAAAAAGCTATGTCTACAAAATTTGCATTGATAATTTGCATTGTTCAGTATGCAGTGCATTGTTATGCATTCTTATTTACACATATTGTATATATATTTATTTACATACAGAAAATTTTCAAATGTATGTAAATGCCATTGTATAGTATTAAAAATTGTTAATGAGGGTATTTTATTGACCATTGCTGTTGATTTAAGTCTTGTGCAAAATGACAAATTATTGTGTGGAAGTAAATATTCAATACATGCTTTATAATTGTTTCAAATTATTAGTCGTTTGTGTCTTTATGGCATTTGTAAAGTGAAAACTGCTAATATATTTCATTAATATAATACATATATATACAGTGTGTTGCTTAAAATTCATTTCTTACGACTGTTGTCAACTGAAATTTTACTTTTAGAAAACGTTTCCTATCCTTTCAGATAAGAGAGACATGTGCACACATTACATGTAAATGTTGGAAAATGGCTAATGTTTTCTATTTATTATGATTTATTCATTGCGTTTTATGTCAAATCAATTAAACATCTCATATTTACCTGCTGGTCTATTTGTTTTATTGATGAACGATAATAATCCTAGCTATGTTCAAGCTTGCATATGTTCGCTCTTAGTTTTCAATAAATTTAATTTGAAATATTATTTTTTTCAAAGCTTATGTTAAGATTTTTTATACATATGACAAGCATGCTGGGATCGGCAAATTTACAATTTATTTGGATTTTAACGCATTTTGAGCTCCACGCCCCAAGTCTCTCTGTCTAAGGAATGAACTGTCTGTATAAATGAAAGAAAGAAAGTCATGAGCGGGAAATCATACCCAGTAAGTCTTGTCAGTACCCACAAATGAATAACATCATCATCAGTAAGGCAGGTGTACTAAAGTTCCTCGCCAACCTCAATGCCAACAAAGCTGTCGGCCCTAACACTATTAGACCAATTGTCCTGAAGGAGGTGAGAGGAAAGATTGTTGACATCATTTCAGTTCTCTTTCAAAAATCCCTGACCACTGGTAATATATACTGCATACATAACCACCAATTCCTCCTTGGACCCCCAACACTCCATATCATGATCTAGACAATATGTTTCTGTGGGAGAAGCAGTGGGGCGTGGAGTTTAACCCTTCAATGTGCCAAATCATTCATATTACCAAAACAAAACCAAAATTAAAAACAAATATATGCTCCATGGCCAAGTCCTAGAGTCGGTCTCAAATGCTAAAAATCAAGGACTAGATCTGTTTTCTGACCTTAAATTTAACACACATATATTTCGAATAACTTCCAATGCAAACAGATCTCTTCGCTTTATCAAAAGGAATGTACGTAATTACCAAAATTGAGAGAGTGAAAGAACTAGCATTCAAGTCCAAGGTCCGTCAACAGGTTGAATATCCGTCAACCATCTGGTCTCCGTACACAAAACCAATATTGACAAGTTGAGATGATCCTGAGACGTGCAATAAGATGGGTAAAAATGGAAAGCTCCCTTCTCTCTAGTGTCACAGTCATACAGGAAGAAATAAGCTTGCGATCCTTTGAACATCTATAACTGTATGGTACAAGTTAGACAAGTTATGATATTATCCTATTAATCTGATTAAAATCGGTTCCTATACTAATACGGTCCTATTTCCCTACAATTCATATATCGTCAGCTGATTAGTCAGTAGTTTAGTGCAAACCGAAATCAGGGGAAGTGACTCCGGGGTAAAATGCGGCATTTTCATTTTTGTTGTTGAAATAACATCAAATATTACGAATACGCTAAATTGACACTTATCTAAAATTTCTTTCAAAAATGCCATTACCACTTATTAAATTAGGAGTATTATTGGCAAAACAAGTCAGTAAACCAATTGTCAATCGTTTGAAAATAAGAGCTCGTGCGAATCCAATTTTAAGAAAAATCTTCATACAGACAGCTGATTGTGAGTAAAAAGTTAATCGTGATCATTGTGAAAGAAATCTGATTTCAGTTTTCAAGACATACCATTAAATGTTCCTTCAAGGAACTCAGCAGGATATGTTGTAAAAAGCTACCCACAGTTATATTCCGGCACCTGAGCAGTCCTTAGCGGTCCGGCAACTTATCGAAAGCATAAATTCTATCACTAAAATTATATTTTTTTCTTACAATAATACATTTTTGTCTATTAACTTTCTACCATATATTATAAGAATGTTCTAGGAGGGGTTTGAAGGTCCTTTGTGCCTCCCTAGCAGTTGTTAGTGCACCTGAGCAGTCCTTAGCGGTCCGACAACTCTTAAAAAACATAAATTTTATCACTAAAATGATATTTTTTCTTAAAATAATACATTTTTTGTCATTAAACATACTACCTTGTATTATAAGAATGCCCTAGGAGGTATTTCAAGGTCCTTTGTGCCTCCCTAGCAGTCTTTTGTGTATCTGAGCAGTCCTTAGCGGTCCGACAACTCATAAAATTTTCACCAAAATCATATTTTTTCTTAAAATTATAATTTTTTTTTTCACTAAAAATAATACCAGGTAATATAAGAATGGCCTAGGAGGTATTTTAAGGTCCTTTGTGCCTCTTTAGTAGTCCTTTGTGGCTCCTTAGCAGTCCTTAGCGGTCCTTAGCAGTCCTTAGCAGTGTTTAGTAGGACCTACTAAACACTGCTAAGGACTGCTAAGGACCGCTAAGGACTGCTAAGGAGCCACAAAGGACTACTAAAGAGGCACAAAGGACCTTAAAATACCTCCTAGGCCATTCTTATATTACATGGTGTTGTTTTTAGTGAAAAAATTTTATAATTTTAAGAAAAAATATGTTTTTGGTGAAAATTTTATGAGTTGTCGGACCGCTAAGGACTGCTCAGATACACAAAAGACTGCTAGGGAGACACAAAGGACCTTAAAATACCTCCTAGGGCATTCTTATAATACAAGGTAGTATGTTTAGTGACAAAAAATGTATTATTTTAAGAAAAAAATATCATTTTAGTGATAAAATTCATGTTTTTGAAGAGTTGTCGGACCGCTAAGAACTGCTCAGGTGCATTTACAACTGCTAGGGAGGCACAAAGGACCTTCAAATCCCTCCTAGAACATTCTTATAATATATAGTAGTAAGTTAATAGACAAAAATGTATTATTGTAAGAAAAAAATATGATTTTGGTGATAGAATTTATGCTTTCCATGAGTTGCCAGACCGCTAAGGACTGCACAGGTGCGAAAAGGACTGCTAGGGACTTTAAAATATTTCCTAAGGAGGCACAAAGGACCTTAAAGTACCTGTAAGGGCATTCTTATAATACATGGTAGTATGTTTAGTGATAAAATGTATAATTTTAAGGAAAAATATCATTATAGTAATAAAATTCATGTTTTTGAAGAGTTGTCGGACCGCTAAGGACTGCTCAGGTGCACTTACAACTGCTAGGGAGGCACAAAGGACCTTCAAATCCCTCCTAGAACATTCTTATATTATATGGTAGTAAGATAATAGACAAAAATGTATTATTGTAAGAAAAAAATATAATTTTGGTGATAGAATTTATGTTTTTGATGAGTTGCAGGACCGCTTAGGACTGCTAGGGAAGTACAAAGAATCTTAAAATACCTCCTAGGGGCACAAAGGACTGCTAGGGAGGCACAAAGGACATTTAAATACCTCCTAGGGCATTCTTATAATATATGGTAGTATGTTAAGTGAGAAAAAATGTATAATTTAAAAAAAATATATATAATTTTGGTTATAGAATTTATGCTTTCAATGAGTTGCAGGACCGCTAAGGACTGCTCAGGTGCACTAACAACTGCTAGGGAGGCACAAAGGATCTTAAATTACTTCCTAGGCATTTTTATATTATATTGTAGTAAGTTAATAGATAAAAAATGTATTATTTTAAGAAAAAATATAATTTTGGTGATAGAATTTATGTTTTGGATGAATTGGAGGACCGCTAAGGACTGCTAGGGAGGTACAAAGAATCTTAAAATACCTCCTAGGGGCACAAAGGACTGCTAGGGATGCACAAAGGACATTTAAATATCTCCTAGGGCATTCTTATAATACAAGGTAGTATGTTTAGTGACAAAAAATGTATTATTTTAAGAAAAAATATCATTTTAGTGATAAAATTCATGTTTTTGAAGAGTTGTCGGACCGCTAAGAACTGCTCAGGTGCACTAATAACTGCTAGGGAGGCACAAAGTACCTTCAAATCCCTCCTAGAACATTCTTATAATATATAGTAGTAAGTTAATAGACAAAAATGTATTATTGTAAGAAAAAAATATGATTTTGGTGATAGAATTTATGCTTTCGATGAGTTGCCGGACCGCTAAGGACTGCTCAGGTGCTAGGGACCTTAAAATATTTCCTAAGGAGGCACAAAGGACCTTAAAATAACTGTAAGGGCATTCTTATAATACATGGTAGTATGTTTAGTGATAAAAAATGTATAATTTTAAGGAAAAATATCATTTTTGTGATAAAATTCATGTTTTTGAAGAGTTGTCAGACCGCTAAGGACTGCTCAGGTGCA